CTGGTAACAAGATGAAGTAAGCGCCGTTTCAGCTGGGCTAAAAATAATTGCTCGACAAAGTTGGCTCACAGCTGGATGGTCACACGATGTCCCGCTGCCACGCCCCTTCGCCTGGACGCCGCCCACTTTCCATTTGCCTACCGCCAATGCCGGAAACGAAAACGATGGCGACGACAAAGGGGCCAGGCGACATTGCAATTTAGACTAGGATGAACACTGGCCAAAATCCCTTTTCTTAGATGGTTTAAAAAAATGTTTTCCTTTTCTTTTCTCGAAAGTAAATGCTTATGGTTGGGCTTTTCGAACTATTGACGTCTTGCTTTCGGCATAAGGCAACTGACTTTAAGCAGTAGTTGTTCTTGGTACGCCTTTTTTCCAGTGCATGCTTCGAGCAACAGGCAGCAGGCAAGGCGGCGGTGGCAGGAGCCGAGCACTTGGAACTCCTTGGACTCGGACTCGGTCTTGGTCTTGGTCTTCGTCTTGGTGTTTTGCCGGCCAGAGAGAGGAAGCACTTTGCAGCGCTTGAGTGAGTCGTCTCCGAAGGGAAATGTTAAAGGGATTCCGCTGGACGCTGGCTGTCTTTGTTGTCGGCCTGATCCATCTTCGTCCAGCCACCGGCCCACCCAGCCGAATCCAACCCATCCCGGCCACCCAGCCGGTCTTTCTTGCGTTTTAATGATGATTGAGCGACGGTGCTGGAGGAGGATGGGCAAGGGGAAGTCAGATTTGGCCGCAGCTCGGAAAACCTTGTTGCATACTTAGTCAATGCAAAAGCTGATTTGGTGGGGTGGGGTGGGCGCAGTGGGTGGTTGGGCGCGTTGAGTATCCGGGGCGTGGCTGGGGGATTACTGTGACAGTTTCGCATCGCTGGTCATCGCGCGGCAAAAGCAAAAAGCTTTGTGCAAATAAAGCTGTCGGCATGTAGATTAGACTGAAACATTCTAGTTTCCTCGTTGCTTTCGCCCCGTTCCCCTCCCTTTCGACCAAATAATTGATATGGAAAGAAAGTGTCGGAGGTGTAGAGGTGATTGTTTCCACTGCCATTCGCTCTTCCGACTAAAAATCGAAAGAAATGCTGCAAAATGTGGGTGATTACAGTGAGGATGGTGCACTGTGAAATGGAAAGTGGACTAAGCGCATTAATTTTATTATTCAATAGCATCGTTTCTTGGCCAACAGTATTATTTTGTGAAAATATATTACTCTAAGCTCGGAATTGCGTGAGAGCCCCTTCAAAAAAAGGCAAACGTACTGTCCTTGCCGGAGAAAACTCGCTTAAAGAGCTTGGCTCAATGGGAAATTTTCCGTTTAGTCATTTCATTTGGCCCCTTTTGAGATGCTTAGCCTTGTCCTGGAATCTTCGGCTAACATACCTTTTAGCCAGCCAGCCAGCCAGCCCTCATTTTGCCGCATTTTGCTTGGCAGCTGGCCGCCATTAAGTGCATAATTCAATTTGTAAAGCCGCCGACTTTGAGTGCCCCTAAAAGTATGCAAAGCAGCCGCAGACGGACAAACAGAAAAATCCGCCAACTCCTTTCATAGTAAAGAGCCGCCTGCATAGATCAACGGGCACAAAGAGGCTCTATATATATACGTATATATATATATATGTGTATATAAGAGGTTCTGTCGTAATGAAAATAAAGTAGCAGCTTTAACGCATTTTTATGGCTCTCATTCCGTTGTCAACCGTATGCAACAAACAACAAGAGAATGCGAATGTGCGGGGCTCCCAAGGAAATGGAACGAGGATATTAGGTGGGGGATTGGCCCATAAGGACACCCCGACGCACCTGCTCTATGCAAATGAGGAAGCTGAAAACGGAGGGGGAATGCTGGGCAGGATGGGGGAGCGATGGGGATGAAATCGTAAAATCTGTCAATTCGCAGACGCATTGTCTTTAATTTCCAGGAGCGTGCAATGAAGCAGGCTTCCTTCTTTTTCTTTTTTTCGGAGCGCATTGCGGGCAAACTGGGGCCTATAATTCCCAAATGGCGTTACAAAATGAATTTGCAACTAGATAGGCAAAAGCACTATTGCAATCAAGCAGAAATATTTGTTTCGCCTTAAAGTGCTCATTGTTTTAATTTTCGCCAACAGTTTGGCCATCTAATCGAAATGTACATTGCGTCCATGGGCATTAGAGTGCCACATATCGATCCTTGTAGTCCCCACACTTTTCCTTTGTTTGTTCCCTTACTTTTCAGGAGGGAAAAATCAGAGACGTGCGGATGGAAAGTCCGTCCCTGGCTAGTTGGCGTTTTTCTCGGCCGCTTTGTTTGCTCGCTTCTGCCGGCAAATTTATGCGGTCCAGGCTAATCCTCGTGGGGATTTGGGCTTAAAACGTTTTATTGTTGCCCCACGTAGGCGCAGACGGTGGGCGTGGTCGGCGACGGCGGCCGGGGCGGCTGGGGCGGTTGGGGGCGTGGCACACACGGCTGTCGACTGCAGATTTCCCAGTTGCCTTGTAAATTTATCGCATTAAAAAAGTGTGAATTTTCAACAACGTTGTTGGCGGCCCACTCCCCATTGTCCTCATTGTCTTTGCTGCCACATCCTGCTCCATCTTCGCCCTTTTAATTTCTTTCTTTCTGCCCCTCTTGAGCCGCCCTTGGTGCGCCCAACCACCCACTTCACCTTACAGACGCCGCCACTTGACACTGTCATTATGTAAATTAAATTGTGGCGAATTATTGTTTTTATTTTTATTTTCGGTTTGGGCCATCTTTGTGTATTTTTGGTTTTTCCGCTTGCCCCAACCCCCGCATGATTTCGCCGTAATTTATGTATATGTTTATTTATTTCCCCACCACTTTCATCTGCCGCCTGTCGCAGCATTTGTTGTTCAAGTGTATAATTCATAATTTGCGGTTCTCTTCCTGTTGCCGCCTCTCGAATCGCTGACAAAGCAATAAAAGTTTTCCCAGCAAGTTAACAAATCACCAGGGAGGCTGTTCCAGGGGGCGTGGCAGTTGCCATGGGGCGGAGGAAGGAGTAGAGCTAATCTGGATAGCTATATTTACGACGGCATCATACAAATTAGCTCATTAATTTCCATATTTAACTTGAATTAATAAAACAATTAAATAAAACAATATAGCATAAAGGTTTCAAATGAAAAGCTCGATGAATGAAAACTTTGGCTTCCTTAGTAGCATTTTTTTGGTTTCCAATTTAGGCATCTCGTAAACACATTTTTGTATTGAGTTATTACCATTCCAAGCCTCCTCAACTCATGCAGTTCCTAAATCCACCATAACTCCTTGCTGGCCATTTGTCAGTTTGCCATGTTTACCGATTTACTTAAGGATTTCGACTTAGTGCCAGTGCAAACTGGTGGAAGTGACCATCGATCCGTTTCAATAAGCAAACTCCTTTCGACTGCGACTTCATCTCCTTTTCGTCCTTGGTCCTGGCCACCCATCACACATCTGTTAATTAAGGCTAGGATAAGGGACAGGACACACAATACATACGGATATGTGTTTCGGAATGTAGGAGATGCTGTAAATTGTAGTCATGCTAAATTCAGGAAATTTCAAGAAGGTTTCAACGCCTCCTAATTAAATGTTTGCATCGGTAGACATAAGATCTTTTTCGCTTCGTATCGGAAATCAGTTCCTCTTTGTAATAGAACAAGGAACGCAAACGAAACCTAAGATCCAAACAAAATTTTAAGATACTAAAAAAAAAACAAAGCACAAAGCACGAAATGAAAAATCGTAAAATAATAAAATGCGGATTTGATTTAATTTTGTTTTTGGACGGCGGCAAACACACAAACAAGAAAAGCGAATCGTATCACAATAAACGGCTTTTGATGGGCCAAAAGCACACTTAGCTGGAGTGGGAACATCAAAAAAAAGAAAAGGACCGCTTAGAGATTCCTGAAAAAACGCTTCTGTCCGAATTCGGCACGTGATTGATGTGCGCTTATTGTGGCGTCCATAATGGGCGAGCAAAAGATGTTGGACAGATTTTTCGCCTACCTCTTGGAAGCTAGCTGCATAGGGTATATATGGCAATGGCAACAAGTCGAATCCCTAGCTTAGGCACACAGGAATCGCAGTCAGCTGAGAAACCATAAAGAAATTGGCTGGAAAATGTAGGATTTCTGATATTTGGGTGGCAGAGAAGTAGGAACTTTTTGTTTGTTTTGTCTGCTCGTGTTTGCCTTGGCCGCACCACAAACAGGATGTCAAGGACACTTAAGGAGATGTCGCTGGCACTCGGAGCCAACGCACATACCACCAAACAATCTGCCAACCTGGCCAACAAATCATAAAAAATCAAAGGAGGCACACAAATGGCACAAAAAGCGCCAAGAAATAACGAAGAAGTCGAAAGAATTAACAACGCGTCAAATCAGGGCCAGCTTAGAACAGTTTAATGGGAAATTTTCCCACTTTCCCCCACTTTCTTGCTTTTTTATGATGTACTTTTATTGCCTGCGTTTATGTTTTTCATCCTTTTTCACCGCTTTGCCATGTTTTCCGCCGGGACATGAAATTATTTTGCATGTCGCGCGCCATAAAAACTCAACGGCTAGCAAATTTGGGATAAGCCCGCCAAAGTCCCAAGTCGTAATGTCCAGGCCAACTCACATGGGGGAGCTATAAGTTTTCCCATAAACGTCAAGTCGGAGGCATCTGCATGCGAAATTGGCGGATTTGCCAGACAGGTTTTGATATTTCGATGGATATTCAATTCATTTCCCGAACGTATAACAATTCTACAAGATATTTCTGAGCTTACTGCAGAATATAATAAATTTGAGAAAGATGTATTCATTTATCTAATTGTTTTAAGGTAGCAACTTGCTGAAATGCCGTGCAACAATTGGAAATTGGCGGATTTGCCAGATAGGTTTTGATATTTCGATTGATATTCAAGGTTGAGCCAACATTTCCCGAACGAAAACAATTCTACAAGATACTCCTGAGACTATTGCAGAATATAATAAATTTAAGAACAATTTACTAATTTACTTAATACTTACTCCTGATCATGGTTGTGTTTGTAGGCGTCGCGGTAGCGCGTGCGCAGATTGCGCCGCGAATCTCCACTGTCGTTGACATGGTGATTGTGCGAAAGCGCAGCCGGCAGAAGGAGGGCCATTTCTGAAAGAAAGTAATGCGGAGAATGCAGTGTTATTTTGGGCCAATCCTTGGCTGTGCGCGGGAAATCAATTTCCATGCTCGGAATCCCAAGAGCTCAAGGTTGTGTTCGTTTCGTAACGCACGCATACCTGGCATAATTCAATTGCTGCTCACCCCCCACTTCCCCGCACCAAAAAAAAAAAAAAGGCACACATACATGTGTACACTCACTTGGCGAAAGCCGGAAGTATGCGTGCCGGGGCGCCTGGGAGTATGCTACGTTTTCCGTGCCCCCCATTTGGTTGTTTGCCCTGTCGTTTGCTCTTTTTCTTTGCGTGCTTGTTTTTTGTGTGCTTCCTCCAGCGCGGAATCAAAACATGCCATTAACAGGCGACCAAATAAAAAAAGCCAGGCAAACAGCATGAGCTGGATCCGCGCGGCGCCTCCTCTCCTGGTTGCGCCCCCATCCGACCGCAAATTGCATAGAAATGCGAACCGCACTGCCATTCCAAGCAGCCCGTACCGCCCCGAGTCCCTTTTTGTCACGGAGCCAGCGACAACACCAGCACCAGCACCAGCACCAGCACCAACACCTTGGATGACCCGACGTGCCGCGGGTGCAGAACGAGCCACATGCCACAGACACTCGAAGGAATCAGTGGTCCACAAGGCAGACAGCAATGTTCAGCTGTTACATTCAGCAATTAAACAGTAAAGTGGACTCTGATCATAAGCAGGTCTGCACTAATCCCAAGTGGCTCAAATGGTATGAGCTTCCCACATTTATACTGCATCCCTTTTCTCGCAGTGCACTGCGCTCCTTTGATTCGCCACTGTGTTTACCCGATATAATTTACGTGTGCGATTTGTTGACTGTTTGCGCAGTGACTACGGAGCACTCAAAGGGTCCTCCGCCGCGTCGCGGAAGAGGTGCTCCTGGGCGAAACGCCACAGAAACCGTTGCCATGTCAGTCAGAGACGGATGCCGGCGGGGCTTGCGGAGAAGCAGTGATCTTTTGCTTCGATTTTGGTGGCAGGTAATGAATGTTACCGGTCCTGGAACTGCAAAAGTACAGGGGGAAGTACCGCCTGCATTGCCCTATGAGCTGCCAAAGATCAGGAGCTGCGAAAAGCTCAAGTTCGTGTACGTAGAGCCAAAGGGATTATAGGGGATGACCGGAAGGGGCAGCTGAACGGAAACGGAAATGGCGGAAACCGCAGGATCGCAGGATCGCTGCTGGAACAAATCCATCCAGGTGGATGGATGTTCCACAAGATGGAGACAAGATAGTAGATAGGACGGACTTGCTTTGGACTAGGCTTCGATTGCAGACTGAATTTTGGTTCCTCTGTGCAAACTGTGTGCGCTGTTGAGGGGAAGGAGGGTGTCCATATGCGTTGCATAATTTTAGGCGCCGCAGCAACTTATGCAAATTTAACGAGCCAAGTGCTAAACGCTAAGGGATGTGGCGGGATGTGGCGGGGAGAGTGGGCATTTGCATAATCAAATGCCATATTGTTGCCCCTCATCCTGCTTCCTTTCAAGTTCCTTCCGCTGTGACTTCGCCTTGGGCATATTCACTTAAAGGAAAACTTGGCCTCGCAAAAATGGAAAAGTTATCCGTTTCAGCCGAGTGTTTCTATTTCGAGCAGCAGGTGCCGCTGCATATGATGAGCTCTAAGATCTTTCAGTCCATTACGGATGCATAAATGGACAAATTGCCATTTTAGGAACACTGCAAATTGGATTATTTCCAGTTCAAATACCAAACTAAGTGGGAATGCCTTCTTGTTTATCCAATTACATGCAGTGCATGAAGGGTACTCCACATTCCGCAGCTGATTAGCCGCTGCCCAAAACTCTGGCGGTGGCACTTCATCGTTCTTCCCGGACGATTACCAACTTGCTGGCCAAGCAGCCGAGTTGACATTCACACCCACACGCACACGCACACGCACACTAAGGCCAGTTAATTGGAATTTCGCACATGGAAACTGTGTATGTGAGTGCTGAGCAATTATTTTTATAACGTTAATGAGCACGGCGCATTATTGTGGTTGTTGGAGGCAGGGGCTTCGGGTCCTTGAGCTTTTGGGGGCCAGCGAGGCCACAGTGAGAGCCAAAAGTACGCGCACGTGTCGCGCCACAAAACGGGCAAAAACTGAAGCAGATTTCTAGCAGTAAGCCGCAAACTCCCGAAAATTGTGTGCAACTGGAGCGCGCGCGCTTGTGAATTATGTAGATGGCAATTAGCGCATAATTTTTTGTTCAGTTTTTTTAGGTTTGGTGTCCTGGCAGCATTCTGATCATGCATCTTTTATGGTTTTCGGGAGGTTCTCGTGCATCGCATGGCCTTACCTTTAGCCTGCTTGTCCTGCTGGCCTGCCTACCTCAATTATTGCCCCCAAATCACACTCGCACGGAGCAGCTTGTTTGTTAGCAATTAATTGGGAATTAGGCAGTTTTTAATAGCATACTTAAGGGCGCACAGCACTGACTGTCCGAGAGAAGTTGTCTTGAGCTATACATACGCATATGCGAGGGCAGGGCTTATAGAAATCACAGCTACTCCTTAAGCTACTTACTTTTTACATTATTTAATAAAGCGGCTTATGATAGCAGCACAGACTTCCAATCGACTGCTTCACCTCTCTAACACAACTGAAAACCACAGATGAGCAGTTCCTTGATTTTTGGGCGACGCGTTTAATGCCCTGTAATTACTGGGGAAGCTCAAGACGATTTTCCAACCTGTGTCTGTGTGTATCTATGTGTGCGCATCCGTATCTGTTTCTCTGTATCGCTAGTCCTGCGGCGATTGTCTGTCGGCTATTTGCAACACAAACACAACCGCACTTCCGCCCACACGAAGGCGGGGGGCGTGGGCGTGGGCGTGGGAAGTGCTAAAAACAATAAACAGCTTAAGCGCATTATGAGCGTTAAACACACGCGCAGCTGTATGTGTGTACATGCATACGCGAGGATATGCTCACAGCCGGACAGACACACACACTAGCGAGGCCAAGCAAACGGCTTAATTAACATTTACTCGCAGAAACCATGAGCACCGCAAATGTATGTGTTGCCAGGATATACGTAATTGCGGACCAATTATGAAACCGGTCGGAATGGATATTTGTCTTGTCGCCTCCGATTTTGTGTTTTAGCTCAAATTTAGTGCGTTGCCCACTTGTTTGTGGGACATTAGCTTGAATTTATGTGAATTTTTATGGCAACGGGGTAGCCGTATTATATTTGCAATATGCCAACAAATCGGGTATTTATATTTCCGCTCTTTGAAACGTGTAAATCAACATAATCAAACATCTACGCTTAATATTTGTCATTCCATTTGAAACGAGATTTTATATTGGCGACTAATGCCAGCATTTGATTGCGATTAAAAACGTCCAATTGCACGGCAAGTTATTATCAAACTCTTTAATTAATTCAAAATAAACATGGACGCACTTTGTGATTATAAATATAATTAAATATGTAATTACATAAAAGCGGTTTTAGATTAAAAACAACATTGAATTTAACGAACAGCTAAACATCCGAAATTCGATGGCCGCAATTTTGCTGGGCAGCTTTTTAGCCCATTCCATTCGAATTGCCGATTTAAGGCGATGTTAATATATTTTGGGCCAGTCATTAGGTTTGCATTTTAAAAAAATATAAGTGCATAAATTATAGGGGATATTCCGCTAATCATTTCCCTTTCGAATTTCGGTTTGGCAAACATTTTTAATTGATTGCAGTCTTTAATAACCTTGCATAATTAAACGGGCTGATTTTGGGTTACTAAAATGTGAAATTAGTGCTTCAAAAATAATATTAATTGCACGGCAATGTAAACTGTGAATGGCAGGTAGTCATATACCCTATATATTCATATTTCCAGCTTGGCACGTTCCCACATTCAATTTCTCCCCATTTAATGGCTTCAGGTGTCCTAATGGCCAACTTTAAAGTGCCCAAGTGCCCGTTTTCCATATAGTGTTTGACAACAATGTTGTTCCCTGCCCCAATTAATAATGCCCCTTTTTGCGCCCTTTTCTTCCTCCAATCAGACGCATTCATCTATGCACTTGGCAGCTCCATTCTTCTCGTTCTGCATGCGGTTAAATAATATTTTAATGGCAGCAATCAAAGTTTTAATTAAACGCTTAAAGAGTTGTGCGCTGCACACATGTGCCGAGTAAAAAGCAAAAATAATAACAAGCACGGCAAACCAGAAGGCAAAACTAAATCCCAACAAGAGTGGGCCAACTGGGTGGCCAAGTGGGTGGCCAAGTGGGTGGGCACGTCCAAGGCTAATGGAGCGCAAGCGAACCAAAACATAAACAAAAACTTTCGCAGCGATATTTTAATAGTTTTCCCCGCCACCCCTGCCTGTGTCTGTGTGTTTTAAGCCGGCGGTGACACTTAGCCAAATATAATATGGCTTTTATGTCAGCCACTTGCAGAAAATTGCTTCGGATTGAGGGGAGGGGCTGGCTATATGACATTTTTTGCCACTGCCAGCGCCCAACTTTCTGCGCCCTTTCTCCTGCAGAGAAAGCGGCTTCTCTTTCGCTCCTGCTGCTTTCTTTCACGTACTCTGGCTTTCTTGTTTGGAGTTTGGCAGATCCGTTTTTGCATTGGCTTTCGGCTGAGCGGACGGCAGTGCACTGGGCGAAATAATCAGGCAACCCAAGAATAATTCTACCCATTGATATGGCACTTCTAATACCTTGTAGGTCGAATACTTCACAGTCAAATCGCTTTGAACTTGAAACTAACTTGGAAATGTTACAGCTTTATAGGTCTAAAGTAGTTGGGCCTATCGGTACCATTTTGCGCAATGGAAGTAAGATTGCTAATTAAATACAATTAGTTTATGTCCGAAAGCCTGCTCCTTGCCTAAATAATTATATTATGCATAGTGATATGCATTGCGCTTGCTGCCAGTGTGCGTGCAAAAGGCAATTTGAAAGGGTTTCAACTTTCTGCAAACGCCCCCAAATCCGCCCAACCACCCCACCACCCACCACCCCACCACCCACATCATAACATCATGGCAAAAACAACGAATGGCGGGAGTGCATCAGAGGGCCTTGATGCCGCCGTCAGTCTACTTAGTCTGGCTTAGGTGCAAAAGCTTTTTGCCCAAATCTTCGCTTGCCCTTGCTGTGTGGTGTCGACACAAAAGGTATCCTGTGTCGCAAATGTCCTGCGATGCAGGGGGTCAAGGGTTGCGGCGTGATCAAATTAGCGTGTTTATGACGGCCAAAGTTTGCGGGACAAAGGAGTGGCAACTTGGCTTGGCATTTCGGACAAATTCGGACCATTTGGCTTGATAAATTGAAACTCAAAATGGAAATTAATTAAGGGCCAACGAAAAATGTGAGGGAAACGGATTATTAAGCAGAAACCCAAGCAGTTCTTGTCTGCGTATAATATTATATTTAAAGTGCTTTTGAAAATCCTTACTCAGAATTTCGCTGACGGCAGACAAAGGATTTCCACTCACCTCGCAGTATCTTCTTGTCGTGGTGTCCATGGCATCGGTATCCTTGGCAACTCCTCTTCTGCTGCAGCGTGGGGCAGTGCTTGCCACCATTTTGAGCTGCCTGCAGGATCTGCCTGTTCCGCGTCATCATTCCCGTGCCGCAACTCCTGTCGCAGTCACTCCAGGCGCCCCAATCGGCCACCTGGCAGTCCAGCACTGAAATGGAAACGGGTACATTGGTAAATTGACTGGCATATGCCTCAAGAAAGTGCCCCATTGCAATGGGTTCGGTATCGGCATAGCCTTGAAGTATGTAAGCCTAAGCCTACAATAGACAAGCACCCGGCAAATTGCAATTCACATGCCGGCCACGCTCAAGTTTTTTAATTAAAAATGCAGCAGCAGGGAAAATTAATTAAAATCCATACGCCTTGATTGCGCTTTTTTCGCTTCTCGCTTCTCGGTTCTCGCTTCTCGCTGCCCAAAGCTTTGGCTTTGTGCCTTCTGCATTTGCCCCTCGGCTAGCTGGCATTATTGTTAATCAAACACCCAAGTCCCATTCCCATTCTCATTTCCATTCCCAGTTCCCAGTTCCCGATCCTCTGACCCTTGAGCCCCAACCTTTGCGCCGCCGAGTCGCCGGCAAGGCGCTAATGAAGCCACAAAAAGCTTTCCACAAGCGAATTGAAGCTTAGCTGTTGCATTGGGCGAAAAGGTCGTTGTGGCCAAATGGCATTTGGCAATGCTATTTTTGCATTAAATGGTATTTGTTTAATTGCGAATGTAAAACAATTTGTTTACATTCCGAAGGAAAGACCATGTATTTACCACTTAATATTAAATGAGAACCTGAAATGTGAGTTTTGTTTGTTTTGCTGTGAATGCAATCCAACAATACCATATTTGCCAGCTAAATAATGCGCTTTCTGTTCAGTTATAGCCATAATTTAGGCTTTCACTTGTGCCTTCAATGCGGGCCCTCTTTCAACTCAATGCCGGTTGCAAATTTTCATCGCTATCAATGTTTTTCATCGCCAGTCTCCGAATTACCCGTGCTGGCAATTAATTTTCCCGATAGTTTCTGGGGGGCCATTTTGCGCAGTGCACAAAGGCAATTTATATTTTCATTTTCATTTTCACATCGACTCCCGGCTGTCGTTGGCACCCCATGCCATCGGATTTTTATTGTGGCCACGCAAAATTAGGAGGAAGAAAATCGCGCGGCAAGGACGAAGGCGCCATTCGCGAACAAAGCGCCAGGATAATAGAACTAAGTGCAGAAGGAGCTGCCGCTGCCGTCTGGGGGTGGCATAAAACTAAAGTAGTTAAAATTATGATTGCATTGGCTCCAGCCACGGCTCCTTAGCACTTCCACAGCCGCCTCCCGAGAATTCCCATTCCCGATTCGCGCTGGCTGCATGTTTAGCATATTGTGGAGGAGCCCATGAATGCGAATGGGAAAGTTTCGCCAAGGAGAGCGGCGCTTGGACCAAATAGACAGTGCAGCCAGCTCCTTACACTGCAAATGTTGTTTGCGTTTTGCTGGACAATGGACTTGAATCTTGGTTCAGTTAAAGCGCATCCGCTGCTCCAAGGATGCGAACGAAGTTTTGCTCTGATTTATAGCCAAGTCAATTCATGCAGACAACGAACGTAGGTATATTATTTTAACCAGATATTTTAGCCAGATGCAGTGAGCCATGTAATCTTCAATGAGCTTGAATATGAGTCGGTTAGTATGGTTCAATCGGAATCCTTGGTGCGGACTGCTTTCCGGTGCCGCCAAGCAGTGCAGCACTGATTCCACGGCACTGTGCAGCTTGTTGTGGCAATAAATGGCATTATGCTGCTTAGCAATCATGCCACTTGATTGTTGTGGTGCGGCGACAAGGAGCTGAAAATTAGATGGCCACCAGCCGGAGGAGGCGGATGAGGAGGAGGAGCTGTTGCAGCAGCAGGTCCATTGCTTTCAGCCGTCGGGCTGCAACCAGTTTAGTTCAGCGCGTAATGCCTTCGTCCTGTTTGTCCTGCCACTTGGCACTTGGCTGGCATTTGGCCGCCCGGCCTGGCAAATTTGCCTGCCACGCTGACCGCTCTGAAAATGATAATGAATATGGCCATGACAGTGGAAACGGAAATGGAAATGGCACTCAGAGTGCGAATGATGATGGCAGCCACGTCCCCTGATGGTTGATGGTCCTAATGGTCCCGCACTTTGATTTAATTCACCGTCAGCTGTAATTTAAGCCAACACTTTGCGGGCAGCATGGGGGATTTCCCCACTCGGGGAAGGGATCGTTAGAATTCAGAGATCATTAGGAAGAAATGGAAAAAGCAATGATCTGATTCGTATTTGTTAGGGAGCCCAGTTCATTGCAAGCTAGGGAAACGAATTTTAATGTGGGCACATGGTAAATGCTTTGGAAAAGCTGAGGACCCAAATTAAAGTGCAAACTCCACGGCAGGACACAAATATCCCCGAATCGCAGCAGCTGCAACCGACTTGAGCACTTGTCACTGCGATGTCGCCGATGCCATTACTGCTGCTGCTGCTGCTGCTGCTGCTGCTGCAGCCTGATGCTGCTGCATGTCCTTGGGGCGCATATGTACAACATAACTCACTGTCGACGGTGGGAGGCTGGGAATGGGACTCCATCGGAGCGGCAACTCCGGAGGGAACCAACGCCACTCTCCCGGCGGCCAAAGGGCAAACAAAACAAAGAACGGTTGCGACGCGTCGCGTTGGCAACTGGAAAATGTTTGGGCCACGAGATGCTGCTGCAAGCTGGCCAAAACAGCACAGCATCGGCCATGGTTATTTGTGGTCAGCGAAGTAAAACAAATGACGTCAAGTGCGGCTGTCGTGCACTCGGCAAAATGGCTGGTCACTTCGAAGCCTTTTTTGTTAATTTTTATAACTATCCCACAGTGTATTTTAGCATAATCACAGCTTTAGTAAAACGTAGGCAGCTCTTTGGCTGTTCCTTTTTTATTTATATAGAATAACCCCATAAATGGAGTGCTTTTTCAGTGTGTGGATGCTGCAGCTCTTTGTTCCGGTTTTTTGGCCACGCCATTGTGTGCGACTACGTCCATAGATTTCTATCTAAGTAAGTGTGTGTGTGTGTGTGGGTTTGGGCCCGGTCAAGTCTAGTCAAACAATTGTTTTTGACAATCTCAAGAGCCGCAGATAAGCAAGACAGTGGGCAGTGAAATGCGGCAACAGCTGGAACTTTGCTTTCAGCGCGACTCTAATTCTCTAATTATGTAACAAAGGCAGTTGGCACTCACTTCTGGCCCTTTACGCCGGTAATCGGCTTCCGCTGCATTATCGTTATTGCCCGGAATTCTGCATAAGCCGGGCCAATTCGCACGACATCGCCTGACAGCTAATCCCGCAGAACAAAGCAGCCGGCAGTAACAGTTACTGCCAAAAGTTTCGGCCCACAAAGGCAGATCCTGGAAAAGTTCGCCCCAGCATATTTCAATGCCCGATATTGCCATTTAGGCCAGATGGGATGGGGATTGTAGTTGGCTATCATGAGGAGAACTTTGCCAATTCCTCCCTGTAAGAACTTAATTACTATTAACCTAACACAACCGCACCATATCGTACCTATTAAATTTGGAAGCCATGGTGTTTGGAGGTGAAAACTTAAATTACTTTCTGCGAAATAGTTTCTCAATCTTATAGAGGGAATTCAGTGAATTCAGCCCGATTTGAAATGTCCTAATCGCAGGCGCAGCAACCCATTAGAAACCAATGCCCATGAATGTTTCGCAACTTCCCATCGCTAATGCAGCCGCAGGAACATCGACTGTTGTCATAACAATAAGCCAAACTTGCTCCAAACAGCTAACTCCAAGTTCAGTGGCAGCAAGCGGAGGAGTTCCAGTTGTTGTCCTAACCCAATCCCCCAACTGCGGGCCAGAAATGTTGTGGCACGTGCCTTGTTGCCGAACTTCACTGGAACCAAAGGAATTCAACCAAAATATTTGGCAAAGCCCAGCGGCCATTCTTCATCGGCCATCAAATTGTTTTTTAATTGTAGTGCAATAAATTCACGCAGCTAAATTCAATTACGAATTACAATTGCCCGACTGCCGGAATCCAGCGAATCCAGCGAATCCAGCGATTTGGCATTCAAGATTACAATTACACGCACTTCTGCACACATTTCCCCCAACGGCCGGAGTTCCACGTCCGAAAAATATGGCAATTAATATATATACATGCGACTAAGTTGGGCAACTGCCAATATGCCGAGAATTGGCTCAGCCATTCACGCAACAAATGGGAATATATTTGGGCCAATATTGGTTTATGGGTGCATGGGTGCATGGGTTTTGTGGAGTTCGTCGCCATGGAAGTCGCATTTCATTTGCTTGTGTGTAGGACGGTTTTTAGCAATGTGGCAAATATTGGCGTGCCACCTCAATGAATTGCCACTTGGCCAGCTAACCAATTGGCAGGGCCCCAAAATGTGAAAAATCCGGCATTACAATGGCCTGCAAAATGAAACTATATACTCATAATGGGCCAGTGCCTTCTGAATTGTTTTAAAGCAGTTCGAAATAAACCATTAAGCTGAACAAGATGGGCCAGGTTAAAGTTGAAAAACAAGCCACATGGTGTTAGGTTCTTCGTGTGCGTATTTAATTAAATAACAGTGAGATTTCGCAAAATGTATATATTTTGCCAAACAAATGCACTAAGGCAAGCAAATTCAATTGAAAATGTCCAATTTAAAGGGCTCACATTCAATCGCTCGGTGAATAGAAAGACGAGCCACCTGAACAATGGACAAGTGGCGTTGAGAAATATGAAATGAAATTTGCGCAAATGGCAGCTGCATTTTTCTAGCACTTAATATTTACGGCATAGCTGCACTTAATTAAATCCCTGACAAGCAACTAAAATAAAACTCTTTGATATGCTGCCAGCCCAGCCCCCTCAGCCTGTGCTGAACTTTGTTTTCTGGACACTCCATGTGCTAAAGTATATTACTTTGGCTTGGCTTCTGGCTTTCAGCACGACAAAGTTATAATAGCCCTTTGCAGCAGCCAGAACTTCAGGGGGGTGCGGTGTGCTAAAAGCGGCTCAAACACAAAAAGCCAGCATGTAAGTGGGGTGGAAAAACAGTTGCAAGCCGTCGACGACAACGCGGCGGATACGTAACGGCTGCTCCAATTGCGAATGCGTGCGGATGGCAATG